GAAGAAGGGGATCAGCCCAACTAGGAGTGTCTCAAAAAAGGAGCCTAGCAAAAAAACTTACGTGCTTCTAAAACGCTGCAGGAGAGGTGTTCCCCAGGCGGGCAGCGTCGCGGCAGAGCCAAACCCCGGCGAAAAGGGCTTTGGTGAAGACAGGGTGACGGCGCGTTGCCATTTCGGAGAGAGTCACGGGGTGCCTGGTCCCACCCGTGGAGCAAGAGCTGGGGGTATCGAATGCAGCCACCAAGGAATTGCTGCCCACAGGCTCTAAATAAAAACAAGAAAATGCGTTTGGGAAGGGAAAAGATTAATTTTCAGCAAAGGGCTGGGGCCGGGGAGGGAGCGAAGAAGCAGCAGTGGAGGAATTTGCAGCAGCAGAAAAGGCTCCAGCTGCAGCTGCTGCGCCCAACCCACACGATTTCTGTCATCCCCCCCCAGCAGCGTCAGTGATGCCCCCACCACCCCCAGTGCCTGTGGGATGACCAGGGCCACCCCCAGCCTTGCCCCTCATCCCTTTCCCATCCCCCATAACACCCTGGATACTCCCAGCATGGCCCAGTTTTACCCCAGTATCAGCAAGGATCCTCCATGCATACCCTGAAATGTCCCCCCCAGCATGCCCCAGTCTCCCCTGGTATCATCCAGCAACTCCCCGTGTCTCTGTGATCCAACACCACCATTAAAACCACACCCTCCCAAGAGACCCCAGTCCCCCCAGTATCAACCAGATCCCCTCATCTCACTGCCCTCCCCCATCCCCACCAGCTCCCTCCCAGCATGCCCCAGTCCTGCCAGTATTGACCACTCTCCCATCTCATTCCCCACTCCCATTACAACCAGATCCCCCAGCATCAACCAGATCCCGTTGTCTCTCTGTGCTCCACCACCTCCGTTACAAGCCGACACTCCCAGTATGTTCCAGTCCCCCCAGTATCACTCAGACCTTTCCATCTCACCGCTCTCCCCCATCCCTTCAGCACTTCCCAGTATCAACCAGACACTCTCACCTCTGTGACCTCCCCTTCCCCCATTCCAATCAGACCACACCAGTACGCCCCAATTCCCCCCACTATCCACCAGACCCTCCCATCCCACCACCCTCCCCCTTCTATTACAACCAGACGTCCCCAGTGTGCCCCAGCACCCCGCAGTCTCACCCAAACTCCCTGATCTCATCCTCTCTCCCCCGCCCCCCATTACAACCAG